CCTGGAGAGGAAGGTGACCCCAAACAGCTCAGGAGGCCCATATTAAAGAAGACAAATGAATCTACAAATATAGTAATGTGAATGGGTTTCTGTAAGCTCCAGGAAGAAGCTTGTCACTGCTGTTCACTGATTAACTCAAGTACCTAAAACATATCTTCAGGTATGGGATACGGTTAATAGATATTTGTTGAATGGATGAATCAATGAATGAATGAACGAAGGAGGAGAAGGTGAGAAAGACAGGAGGTAGGTGAAGGAAGGAAGTTTGGGGAGGAAATGAGGATGAAATTATCTAGTCCCCAGCTTTGGACAGTCCCTGCTCTTTCCAGGGGTCATGACAGGTGATACCATCCCATCATTCCTCTGCTCAGAAGGCTGCTGTGGCTCCCCATTGCCTAGGACAAAAACCCCACTCGCTTAATGTTCCATGCAATTCATCCACAGCCCAGCCCTCACCACCTCTCTCTCACACACCCTCACTCAGGGCACACTGGCCCACGAAGCCCTAGCCAGCAGCACTGGCTGCTGATTTTCATCATCCCAAGTTTACAGAGGGAGAAACTGGCTTGCCCAAGGTCACAGAACTAACAAAGGATTCAAATTCAGAAGCACCAGATCTCAATGCTCTTGTCTTCCGTGTGGCACTGCGGCGGCCCTGACAGGTGAACTTGCGCCATCTACTGGCACAATTAGAATAGGCACCAGGTCACCGCGCATCACACTATTAAAGCCACAATCTCCAAGCCCCTAAAAGGTTTGTGAAACGCGGAAAAACAAACGGGCTCGTCTGTGTCCCGCCCTCACCTCAACACCATGACCAAAAAAAGTCAACAAAAGCTAATGCCACCATAATGCAAAAGAAGAATAAATAGTGCCAGGAGATTTCAGGAAAGTTCAAAACCGCTGGGCTGGTGGGCATGTCTTGATGGGGTGAAGTGATTCAGAGAGAGGAAACTCCTGTTTCCTTTTAAACATCACCACACTTTTGAGTAGCTCAAAAGCAGTTCAGCCACTGAAGATTTCAGCTACCATTTTATCGGTTCATTTTTCTTTTCGTTTCTTCCCTTTCCTTCTCTTTCTTTCTTTCTTTCTTTCTTTCTTTCTTTCTTTCTTTCTTTCTTTCTTTCTTTCTTTCTTTCTTTCTTTCTTTCTTTCTTTTTCTTCTTTCTCTTTCTTTCTTTTCTTCTCCTTCCTTCCTTCCCTCCTTCCTTCCTTCCCTCCTTCCTTCCTTCCCTCCTTCCTTCCTTCCCTCCTTCCTTCCTTCCTTCCTTCCTTCCTTTTTGTTACTCTTAATCCCATCACCTGTTTTCACCCATCCTTCCATTCCCCCCTCCCCTCTGGTAACCATTAGTTTGTTCTCTATAGTTTAAGAGTCTGTTTGGGGGGTTGTCTCTTTTTTCTTTGTTTATTTCTTAAATTCCACATATGAGTGAAATCATATGGTATCTGTCTTCCTCGGACTGACTTATTTCACTTAGCATTATAGTCTCTAGTTCCATCCACGTAGTTGCAAATGGCAAGCTTTCATTTTTTTGTGTGTCCAGCTACCATCTCCAACATCCATTTTAAATGCCCATTATATGAAAGACGACATGAACACAGGCGTCAGCGGGGGGTTGTTGCAAGTATCTAAGCTTTAACTCGGAAACCTCTATTATGGGACTCACATTTCATTGTAATTGTCGATTTAAGAAACAACTTTTCTCTGGACCCAAGTGTGACTTCTCTGAGATCAGTGTCTGTTTCTTCCTCAACCCACCCCCCACAACTTCAGCACCTAGCATGGTGCTAGGCACAAGGTAGGCACTGGGTGAATAATGGGAGAGTGCAGATTACACTGCTCTTTGGGGAGACCTCGGGCAGTATCATGCAGAGTCTACCACAAGCTGGCAACCACACTGTTGATATGGTAAATTTCAAAAGGTTAAAAAAAAATCACCCTCATTCAAATTATAGTGGGAATGTGTCAAAGATTTATTTAACTCACAGCAGAATGATAAAGTTGGTTCAAAGAAGAATAGGAGAGACTGGCATAATCACTTAGAGGAAGAAAGAATGTTGAAATAAGATGTGAAATTAGGTAATGCCTCACAGGACAATAAAACTTCTGGGAGTTATATTTTCTGGTGGATAGAAATCATTTGCTTCTGTACCAGGATCAAATCACTTAGAACTGTCCACTCTTCCACAAATTAACATCTAGTCTCGTGAGTTGAGCCCTAATCAATAATCAATTGTAAGCCAGATTCATGTTTCTATAGAGATTTAGATCATCCTTAGGTAAGTCCTGTTGGATAACACCCCAGCATGATATTGGAAGGACATACAGCCATCTTTTTGCTTTATTTACAGGTTTTAGAGGATTTCTTAGCACAATCATTGGCCTAGTCCTGAGATGTTTCCAGAACAACGTGGAATCCTCATCCTGCAGCGATTCTCAGAAAGCACCTAAGACCCTTAGTTCTGTAGATGAGAAATTCAAGGATAAGAAAATTTGTCACCAGAGAATAGGCACTGTGCTAGGGGGAGTCCTGTATAGAGCTCTTCTCCCTCACACAGGGCTGTGGGTTCCCTGGGGCTCACAGATATCCAGCCCTTGCAGACTCCCAGGAGTGCCCCCCCCCAGCTCCTCTCCCCGCCCAGGGCTGTTCTCCGTCCCTCCCTTATACTCTGCCCCTCCACACACATCTGGTGCCCGGTCACCGACTTCCCGACTCGCCCAGGGGTGTATAGCTCGTTCCCCAGCCTCACCTACTTCGAGCTGCTGTCTCCACAATCCTGGGAAAACCGTTAAAAGATAATTCTCAACCAATGGTAAAAACCATGACCCTCATACAGATACAAAAAGGAACATGTTGAAGATTTTATTTAACTAGTGGGGGAACCATTTTATTTAACTAAGGAGAGACCAGGAGATGTTATAACCAGTTCAAAAGAGGATCCAAGGAACAGACACATATATGGATGAGGAATATTGAAATGAATATGCAGATGGAGGCACAATCTGGCTTTTCACATGGTGGGAGGGCAGACAATTGAACCTTTACTGGACAGTACAGAACGTGCAGGCAAGAATGATCTAGTGGTGGTGTTGGGATTGCCTACAATTCCGGAGTTGCAAAATAGCTCAAAGACAATGAGAAGCTGGACTCAGAAAACCTGCAGGAGTGTCCTCTAGACCAAGCAGAATTTTCTATTGAAATACAAATTTGTTTCTGCTACCCTAGAAATATAAAAGCCCCCTTACCTTTCCCCGGCCCCTCCAAATTTCCAAGGCTTCCCTTGACCCCAATCTGCTGCCTTCCATCCTATTTTAATACGGAAGATCTACTTTGTGCTCACAAGGCCCAGCTTGTTGGCAACCCCTCCCACAGCACACGGTGCTCCTGGGAACCAAGTGGCTTCTTGGTAGGCTTCTGCACATAGTACTGAGGCCTCCAGCTCCTCTGTGGACAGCCGGGGTTATTTGGGTGATTAGAGCTCTCCATCCTAGTCATTCACCGTCTGCCCACCCACTGCTCCATTCCCCACTCTGTTGCAGGCCTATCTTCACTGTTTTCACTACAGCAGCCCCCCACCCTCACCCTCGGGGATGCGTTCCAACACCCCCAGTGGATGCCTGAACCTGCCAGAAATACTGAACCCTATATATACTGTTTTTTCCTTATACATACCTACCTATGCTCAAGTTTCATTTGTAAATTATGCACAGGAAGAGAGTAACAACAATAACTAATAAAAAATGGGGCAGTTTTAACAATATACTGTAAAAAAATTTATGTGAATGTGGTCTCTCTCGCTCAGAATGTCTCATTGTACTGTCCTCGCCCTCCTTGTTTTTGTGATGACATGACCTGACAAAATGCCTACCTGAGGAGATGCGGTGAGGGAGAAGTTCCCCAAAAGTGTACACATGTGTAAAGCAGTTGTGCGCTATCCCATGGTGTAATAAAATTAGGAATATTGGAAAGAATATTGAGTGGCATATACGTATATAGTTGTTTTGGCCAAATTCTTCTTAGAAATTGCCAGCTCACTTGCTTTTTGGACCCAAGTGTAAGGTCCAGGTTTGGTGAGAAGAGGTGGTTGCCTCCTTCATTTGTCCCTCAGCCGTCTTAGTTCTTAGAACCATTGGGCGCCTGGGATGTCAGTTCTTAGAACCTGCACCTGCACCCTGCGCCCTGCCCCTGTGTCGCACTGTACTTATGTGTGTGTGATCACCCATCACCCTTTCACAAAGGGCACACGGGCTCAAAATCTGCCACCTGCTTCCACCACTAATTCATAGGATGACCTGGGGCTCCTTCCCAGCTTCTAGGAAACCGTGAGGACTTCTGTTGTTGCTGAAAGCTTAGCGATTTGAAATCCCATGTAAGGCAAAGCCCTGTAGCACTTAAAACAGAAATTTCAGGGGCACCTGGGTGGCTCAGTAGGTTATACATTTGACTCTTGATTTTGGCTCAGGTCATCACCTCAGGGTCATGAGATCGAGTCCCTCGTGGGGCTCTGTGCTCAGCATGGTGTCTGCTTGAGATTCTCTCTCTCTCCTTCTCCCTCTGCCCCTCCCCCAGCTCACTCTTTAAATAAACAAACAAAAAAACAAATAAATAAAATCTTTAAAAAAAGAGAGAAATTTCATTTCAAGGACTTTTCCAGAGGTAACATTTTTAGAGTTATCAGTGAGTCTGCCATGCCAGAGGCATAAGGCCAGGCAGTCTGAGGATTGGCCTATAGTACTCACTCCTTTCCCTTCCTGGGCTGTGTCATTGCTGGGCCTCGGACTACCAGAGCTGCTGCTCTCCTCTGGCCTGGGTCTCATATGCGGCCTCCCGGGTGTGAAAGTCAGCCAGAAACCCAGCCCTTCCTTCCTCTGAGCCCATCCCTCCAGAAGGGTGCTTTCCCTTTGGTACCTCCATTCTACATCGGAAATCCAAGTATTTTCTGGTCCTTCTGGGGAAAGAAAACAATCTTGCCAACAAAAAGACGCCTTCATACCCATACAAAAGAGAGCAAACACAGTTTATTGTTAGGTAAAAACCAACAGACTCACATGGAAGGTGACTCAAAAGTGATTGGAGTTGGGACACAATTTCATATGAATTTATGCAGTAAGGTGGAAGAAGGAAGAAGGAAAACTTCTCTCATCTTTCATCTCCTTGAAAGACAAATGGTGAGCCTTGTGATAATCTCCTGAGTACCTCCAGAGACTCCTGAGTTCATGTTCACAGTGTGTGTTTACATTCCAGGGCTCAGAAGGCCCTCGACCTTGCATTATAAAATCAAAAGGTCATGCCTCTTCTAGGCCTATTATGTTTGCATGAAGACCCGCTAAGGAGCGGGGAGTGGGAGGTAGGTGCTTTCCCCCCTCAAGGAAAGTGTCCTGATTTTACCTTTACAGTCCCCTCTGAAAAGCCACCAGTATTATTCCAAAACCCACCCCTTTTTTGACAGAACTCTAATGACAATCTCCCCTCCTTCTACTCTTTGTGCATCATTTAGTGAGAATTTGTACAGTGCATAGGACTTATCAATAACTTCATGTTTATTATCCCATCTGATCTTCACAACCTGGGGAGGTGGTTTATTATCCTCATTTTACTGACACAGAAACAGACGAAGTGACTCTTGTAAACTTGACGTGGGGGAGCTGAGATGTGAACCCAGGTCTTTGATAACAAACATCTTATCTTTTTCAGCCTCTGAGGAATATATTGCTAGGCCATTCTAATGCAAGTAAAGAAAGAAAGGTAATATAAGAAGAGGAAGTCGGGAGAGGCATTTTATATTTCTTCAGTGTTTGAGCACTCTGTGGCATTCTGGAACAGAGACATTCAATAGAACTTTCTGTGTTGATGGAAATATTCTTTGCTTGAATCATCCAATATGGTAGCCACAAGCCAAAGCTACCTGTGTACACGGGTACTCAAAATTAAGAACTGACTTCTTAATTTTATTTCATCTGAATTGAAATGTAAATTTAAAAACAAACAAACAAACAAACACATGTAGCCAGTGGCTACCATCTTGGACAGGGCAGCTCCAGAATGCAAAAGCCCGGCTAGGTGGGTAGTCTCAAGATGTCACCTCGGCCGGTAACCAGTGGGCTGTGTTTGCTTCAGACCTCGGAGTGAAGCTCCCACAGATGTCATTCACACTAAGTAGGCTGCCCCTTAGGAAGGAGAACATGTGGGCCCAGGAGTTTTCGGATGCTGGCATGGGCTTGGGATGTCAACACTCCTGTCCAGTGGGGCTCTGGCTCCTTCCACAGGCCCTGGCCCCTGTCAGCTCTCCACTCCTTCTCTTCCTTCGCCCCTCCCCCTGCCCAGCGCACAGCACTCGTCCCTCGGTTGCTCCTGCAGGCAAATCGGGACAACTTCATCAGAGAACAGAAATAATCATTCACCTGCACAAAAGTCACATCACAACAGAGCTGAGAGAGACCTTCAGAATTATTTCTTCACACCCCCCTGGTTTTACAGTTGAGAGACCAAGGCCTGGAGAGGTGACCAGTAATGTCCTTGGCCTCTTTGCCCAGGGCCCTGACCCACTGAGCTCACAGATGGTGCAGGAACAAGCAAGAAAACTGGAGCCATCTGGCCACAGGCATTCTTCCTGCCTAGTTACATATGTGCAGTGATTCCCTTAAAAGTGATGATGGACCTCTGGGTGGCTCAGTCAGTTAAGCACCTGCCTTTGGCTCAGGTTGTGATCCTGGGGTCCTGGGATCGAGCCCTGAGTCAGGGAGGCTGATTCTCTCTCTCCTTCTGCCTCCCGCCCCCGGCTCATGCTCCCTCCCTCTCTCTTTTTCTCTCTCTCAAAGAAATAAGTAAAATCTTTAGAAAAATAGTGATGATGCATAAAGGGTAAGTTTGGCAAAGAGCACCAAGTTTCCAATCCTTTAACTACCACCACATGCATTTGGGTCATTTACAGGTGAAAAACATTTCCATCCTGTTCTTAAAGATTCTCTATAATATACTTCTATTTTTTGAATTTCCCCTTGCACCGATTAGGCTCAACTCTCATAAACAAAACAAAACAAAATGCTTGAAGCATATTTACTGATTGAATGACACTACTTATCCATTTTGGGGTTAATTACTAACAATCTTAACACTTTTATAAGCAGAAAGTCCTGCTTCATGTCTAACTTCACTGATTTTTTCCCCCAACTCAGCATAGAGTGATGAGTGCTTAGCCATGCCAGATGGACAAGTCATGAGTAGGCCACATTTGGCTAGAAACATATAAGCTATAGCTGGCAGACTTTGTCCAGTGTCCAAAGCTCAAGGTTTCAGACATGGCAACACCAGTCATCTGAGACTTGAAGTGAGCATTGCTCACCTGATTTGAAAAATTCTGGATAGCAAACTGTTGGGCACTGCTGATATGCCTCAGGGAATTAGCTGTCATAGAAACATTCAAAATGATCATCCCAAAGTTCTAGCAACCAGGAAACAGACACATCAGGAAGGTGGGTAGTGTGGGTTCCCATGGGTATTACATCTCACTTTTAATGACATCATATGAGCCGAAGTCCCATTTCTCTCCATAATTAGAGCTAATAAATATCTTCAACTGGATAGTATGGCAGACTTTGGAAATATTGATCAGTTGTGACTAGAGTTATATTGCTCTGAATTTGAATATGGAAAACACAGCCAAAGCCTTGCTCATCTCAAAACGCATATGTAGCAAAGACTAGTCCCCTGGGCTTGCTGTCTGCTGTCTGGCCAGCAACATCATGAGAGTGGCTGACTTGTTTTAATGTTTCAAACCACTTCCATTTTATCACTTGGGAAGTTTTTCAGCTATTCCAACGCTGCCACAGAAGAAAGAACATGCAATTTGGAGTCAAAAATATTGGATTGAAATGCCAAGCCTGACACTTAATGACTGTGGCCGATTAGATTACTTCCTGAAAATAGTCGCTCCTTCCCTTCCCACCACCTCCCCCGGAGAATTGTATTTCCCTGCCTCCTTGACTTTGGGCTCGGCCACGTGACTTGTTTTGGGCAAGGGGAAATTGGCAGGCATGGCCCTTACACCTCTGTCCTGGCTAGTCTGTTGGTCTGAGGAAGGGTGGCATGGGACCAGATCCAGACCCAGCCTGCTGTTTACAGCCACCCAGCCAAACCCAGCCAGGATCAGCCAACCCCAGCTGACCCCTAGACACCTAAGAGAGAGTAGCAGGCTACTGTTTATTAATAAAGACTTGGTTTCAGCTAACACAGGGATAATGAAATCAAAATCACAATGTAATCTAAATGACATCCTGCTATTATCACTTTCCCTGCTTAAGAACAAGTGCCCCACTCTTTCCTTGGCTTCCCTAACAGTGTATGTGCTTACAATTTAGCTAAACAGGGACTACAGGACTACCTTCCCAGAATTCCCTTCCCGGTATGGTCCTAAGTTAGCAGTGACCACCAGAGAAAGATTTGTGAATCAGCACACATTTTTTATGCTCTGAAGGTTGGAGCAGGGGACCAGGAACAGTGGGTGCTCACACACATTGTTGTTGATCTACTAGCTTGCCTTGTTCTAGGCTGATTATACGCACGCAACTCCACAGGGAAGGGACTTCCCCTGGAAGTCACCCACAGTGTCAAGTTTGGAGGCGGTGAAAGACAGACGTGGGTTCCAGGTTGCATTTTCTCTTGTTCCTATCAAGCTTTCTTTTCCAACTACCAGGTTAGCTGACCTATAGCTACTTTAGGCTCCACGTCAGACACAGAGGTAACAGTCCTGCCTTGATGTCTCCACCAGCTCTCACAGGTAGGTAAAGTCTAATCCTTTAACAAATCCCTCATTCCCTATCACTCACAGTTTTGTTTCTCTGGACGGACTCCGGATACATCATGGCTGAGTCCACTGTTGTCTTAACATGTAAATTCAGGCAAGTGACTCAAAACTCACTTCCAATAGAGCAAGAAATATTTACAATTAAACCATTTATTGAGCCCTTACTATGTGCACTCTGCTAACTACTTTAATGTATTGTTTCATTTCCTCTCATTAAGTGGTCCACATCCCTCATCCAGGCTGGTTCACTCTTGCCATTATCACCACCTGGTAGTTCAGAGATATCTGCTAGCTACAGTAATATTCCCAAGTTCTTCCATTGGGGATTGCAGACTGGGACCCAGTGTCCTCTGGGGTGACCCTGGATGGCGTGTGCAGCCCTCACAGAAAGAGCCTGGAACACGGGTGTGGGTTTGGGTTAAAGGGTTTATTTCCCCCTCTTCTCCACCCTCAATCTTGGCATTAATCTTTGTCCAAAGGTTCAACATTTGCCCCTATCCAAGAATGTTGGATAAGCATTGGAAAGTTCCAATGGAACTTGGAAAAGTTGGAAAGTTCCCCCTCTAAGAATGAAGTCGGCCCCCAAATCTTTGCTTAGTGACTGGACCCTGCTACCATGATCAGGTCTCAGATGGGAACTACTTGCCTGGGTCCCAAGTGCTGACCCACCGAAGTGGCCTCTGTGGCCTCAGTGCCACTTACTGGGACGCTTGATCCCTTACTCGACATTTACCTCTATTTGGGAGCCACTTTATATTGAACACCTTCCCCCATCAAATGCCCCTCATGTGTCTTCCTTAGATACCCCTCCCACTTTTTAAGCATTTTGTGAGCTAGGGAATAGTATTTTTAACTGTGATTTCTTGTTCATATGTCCTCTGTTTTAAACCCTTAACAAGGAATAATGTGTAAAATGGCTTCCCAGTCAAATATGTAATCATGAGCAATTTGCTTTGTAGGAAGTAGGGAATGGCAGGCATCCTCAAATGGAGTTAGAGTAATCCTAATTACTTACATCGGCAGAAGCTGTCACTTTTGGAAGGTGTGTAATTAGCAGCCAGAGTGTGTGCTGGAAAACATGTGATTGTTTAAACAGAGTGCAGCCCAGAGACTGCCCAGAGTGGGGCTCTCCCACTGTGTTCATTAGCCCAGCCTGGGCTCTCAGGTCACTTGCTCAGGCTCACTGCATGCTTGAATACGAGGTGTGGGGTCAACGGAGCCTACAGTCCTGGTCCACAGGCAAAGCAGGTGTGACCACTTAAAAAAAATTGGATCCTCTGTACTTTGTGATCATGAATTTTTTCTAGTCCAGTGGTTCTCAGCTTTGACTGCACATTAGAATCAACACAGAGACTCTTTAAAAATCATGTCCAAGCTGCACCCAGACCAATTAAGTCCGTTTCTCTAAGGCACCAGTTTTAAAGTTCCTCAGATGATTCCAATGTGCCGCCAAGTTTGAACACCAGTTCTCGACCAACGGTTCTCAAATGTTAGCAGCATTAAAATCACTTGCAGTGCTTGTTAAAACCCACCTCCAGATTCAGTGAGTGTAGGGGAAGGGTGTCCAATAATTTGCACTTCTCATATTTATTCTAAGAATGCTGTCAATGCTCAAAACCATGTTGAATTCCTTTTGGAATTAGAAGAGTTAACTTTTGTTCTACACATATGACAGTCATTGTGCTAAATGTTTTAATCATTAGCTCACTTAATCTTATTTTCACAAGACTTCTTACCCTTCAGTTCTCAGAAAAAGTACCGGACCTGAGATGCCTTCTGCCTGCCCTTTATCATGTACCTGCTGCACCCCCCATCACCTGGTGTGTTTCTTCCTGGGCCCTAACTGTAGTGTGTAATCTTATTTCCTCTTCCACTTGCATGCAGAGACCCTACCCAGTGCCCAACATGTGGCAGGGACTCCACAAGCACTTCTTGATTGAATGAATCCACAGAGCAACCATGGGAGGGGTACTATGATGGTCTGTATTTCACATACCAGGACAGAGAGATACAAAAAGATTCAGTAACTTGTTCGAGATCATAGTGGAGGAACTGAGGTTTAAACTGTGTCCTGACCATAGCTGGGCTCTCAAACCAATGCAAGAATTGCATCAGCCTTAAATAAAACAGCAGCCTTCTTTCTCAGCAAAAACCGAATTACTCACCTAAGAATGTCAACTATCTTTTTGCCTTACTGCCACTTGACTCAAAGCTTTTTTCCCAGGAAAAATAAAAATACACAGAATCAAAACCCATGTGGCCAAACTGTAGAAAGAGTAGCAATTTCTTTACCATTTCAAAACTCTCCTGTTCATACCAGAAACCTACTGACAATTTTCCAAAACAGGTTAAAGGCTTCTACCTCATATAAAATCACATCAAAACTTTTTAATACAAAAATGTTGGTATTGGGCGCCTGGGTGGCTCAGTCGTTAAGCGTCTGCCTTCGGCTCAGGTCATGATCCCAGGGTCCTGGGATCGAGTCCCGCATCGGGCTCTCTGCTTGGCGGGAAGCCTGCTTCTCCCTCTCCCACTCCCCCTGCTTGTGTTCCTGCTCTCGCTCTGTCAAATAAATAAATAAAATCTTAAAAAAAAAATGTTGGTATTTAGGGGAATAAAACTACATGAAAACAAACTGATTTGAATTATGACTTTATTTAGTATGTCAATAATTTATTCTGGTAATAAATTAGCATGTACAGCAATCAAAAATGTTGGGTGCTTCCCAGGAAAACTGCTTCTGAATGTGTACACTAAATCATTAGCAGAATTCCTTTAAATAGTTGACTTTATTTTCCAACTCAGAAGTGTGGTAACATCAAGTTACTAAAGACGCATTCTTTCTCTTACTAGTTCATGATTTAGTTTTGAGTCTATAAAGGTTTCAATTACCATTTCAGCTCCTGCAAGTTATAAAGCCTGAAATTATAATACCGACAGTTTAAAAAAATCTCCTGATCTGGTCTCCTAATTGCAGAGGTGATGAATCCACTGGCCTTGCCAAAGACTACAAAGCTAGTAAGAGACAGAGCCTGGATTACAGATCAGTTCTCTAGAGGTGGTCTGAAATGTCTGGTAAGGTACACAAGGCACAGAATATTACACAGAACTCCAGTCATATCTGAAAGACCCTGATGTGAGACCGATAGCTTATCTTTATGAATTTCTTTTTCTCCAGGGCAACATCTCTCTGTAAGAGTGCACGTCTGGTTCAGTTACAGCTTATAAACACTGGTTAGATGTGTCCCCAGGGACACATTTATTTAGAACAGGCATCTCATCTTCAAGTTCATCCTCAGCAAGAGTTGTAGCAGCTCTACCTTTCAGGGCTGGTGACTCGATTCTGAGGTAACCCTGAGAGTGCCGCTGCCAGCCAGGAAGCCTTGACATGGAGCCTCTTCTCGAATGCCATTTCATTAGCCTTATCTAAACACAAGACCCACATACACAAATCTGATCCGCTCTGATCTGGCAAAGCCATTCATTCAATTTACTAAGTTGGCAAGTTTTTCTCTTGTTCTGCTTCCAACTTCACTTCCTTTGGCTGCTTTTCTTTTCATCTTGTCCCAATTTTCAAGGAACATGCAGAATATGGATAAGGGAACTGATTCTTTGACTATTTCACCTTTTGACTTTTCTTTCTTTTTTTTTAAGATTTTATTTATTTGACAGGTACAGAGACACAGCGAGAGAGGAACACAAGCAGGGGGAGTGGGAGAGGGAGAAGCAGGCTTCCCGCTGAGCAGGGAGCCCAATGCGGGGCTTGATCCCAGGACCCTGGGACCCGAACCAAAGGCAGATGCTTAACGACTGAGCCACCCAGGCGCCCCATGACTTTCTTTCTTACTAACTTTTAGCTTTGTAAAATTTGTGAGCTCGGTATATTTTCTCTGCAATACCATGACCAGAACTCAGTGTAGGAAGTATAATGGAAATGGTATGCTACACAGAATGGGAACTGAGTTCTAATGAACGCCGAGACTGAGCACACTGGCTTGGTATGGAAACTGAAAGCACAGTGGGGACAAAGCAACAAATCTGTTTAAGTTTAGAACAGCAAAGTGGATGTCCAATTTCAAAGAAAGGACTAATTTTAATCATCTTAATAACTAAGCCAAAACATAATCCCCCTTTTTATTAAGGAATACTAATGACTTTGAGGTAGATGATGCTGTTATCAGATAAGGAAGAATCAGATGTAAGACATAAAAATAATGATACTGAGAGAAAGAAAGCCCTGATTTGAAATGATCTTCCTTTAAATTCACACGGAAAATTGAGAACACTTCCAATTCAAAGTTCTAAGCATAAAATCCAGGCATGTCACGTCATGGACTTGCTTCTTTAATTGGAGATGAACTCAGCAGCCAATGGTAAGGAGCCACACAGTAATGGCAGAGTCAACTGTGGAATGGTTGTCCCCATGAAGGAAGCCAGTGACTTTGCATTTGATTTTTCCAGCTTGGCTCATTCCCAAATGTTCAGGATGTGGATTCCTAAAGTCCTCTTCAGCATTTAACTAATTCTTTGTGGGTGGAAGGGGCTGGCACTGCTTCTCCACACATAAACTGATCCTAAGACAGAATAAGAAATTATATGAATCATTGAGTGTGTCACAAATGCATCAATATTAGACTTTAGTTTTGTTGCAGAATCAATCTAGCTGTTAAGGTTTAAAAAAAATTGTTTTTCAGGGTTTATTTGTTTTTTAGTAATCTCTACACCTAACGTAGGGCTCGAACTCACAAGCCCGAGATCAAAAGTCTCATGCTCTTCCAACTGAGCCAGCCAGGGGCCCCGCAGCTCTGTTTGTTTTTCATTGCTATATCACTTCGTCTTTGTTCAAAGAGTCAATGTTGGCACCAGAATTATAATCTTAAAAGTGCTTCAGTTTTTAGTCCCGAATTCACACCTAAAGCACCTTATAAACAAGCATCCACTTGTCAAATATCACATTTGTAAAGATATATCACACCTCTTTTAAGTTTCTGTTATTAATTGCTACACTAAAACTTCTCCACTTCAATATTCAGTCATTTGAATACCTGTCCTCTTCAAGGTAATTACTTTTTCCAACTAAAAGGGATAGCTCTTTATGTTTCCTTACACAGATAATCTGCAGTGTCAGCTACGCTGTAAATGAAATCCAATCTCTTGATTATGTATCCTGGCTTCTGTCTGCTACCACAAGACACCTCTGCCTTCCAGGTTACCCCTCATCTCGCGCGGTCTGATCCCCAGCAGGGTCAGCCCATATTGTGTCCACACTCTCACACCCACCCAGCACCTGGAGCTTCCTCCCTGACCCCAACTTCCTCTTTGGAATTTATGGTCTGTTGATCAGTACACTGCTCCATATTCTCAACCTCTTCTTTAAAACATTCCTGTGCCTTCTTACTCTAACCCAGTGGTTCTCAAGAGGTGGTGGGAGAGGCGTGCTGATGTTGTCTCCAGGGGACATTTGGCAATATCTGGAGACATTCTGGGGAAGGGCTACTGGTGTCTAATGGGTAGAGGTCAGGGATGCTACTAAACACCCTACAATGCACTGGACAGCCCTGTACAACAAAGAGTTATTAAGCCCCAAATGCCCATAATGCTGAGTTTGAGAACAGGCTATCCCTTAAGGATACCATTTCCCTATAACCTCCTAAGTGGTGGTCCTGTGTTCTCTCAGAGTGCCAGTACCACAGAGACTGGAGGAGGGGCTGGTTGCTCCTTTCAGCCACTGTTCTCCTTCCCTCCCTGAAACCCACCAACTTGGACTCTTATGACATGACATGTATCATCACTGGTCCTCTCTGTGTTTTCTGGACCTAGTTTAAAGTCCATCGTCAATTATCATAATCCCTTGTCCCTTACTCCCTCCTACCTACTTGACAAAACCACAACCCTGGTTAAATCTAACTTCTTGTGTCTATATTCACCCACGTAGCTGAATGTCTACCACCTTAAACCCTCTCCTGATCCTCTATCACCACCAGTTACTGCCCCATGTCTCTACTCCCCTTTGCAGCAAACTCCTTGAAAGAAACGTCTATGCTTGCTGCTTCCTATTCTTCTCTTGTTCTCTCCAGTAAGCTTTCCACCAATCAGGCTCTGTCTCTATTACTTCATCAAAACTGCTCTTACCACCATCCAAATGGCCTCCCCATTATAGGCAATGGTTAATTTTCAGTTATCTATCAGTGGCATCTGATTAAGGCTGTTCACCTCCTCCTCTTTTTCTCGTCTGGCTTCCAGGATATGGCACTGGTGGTTTCCTCCTCCTTCCTTTTCGGCCAGCTTTGCTGATTCCTCACTTCCCTCTCTGACCTTTAAATATTGGGAGTGGCTGAGCTCAGTCCTTTCTTTTGTCCATCTCTATCTAGATTCACAGCCCTGGTGATCTCATCCAATCTCATGGCTCTAAATGTTAAACATATATTTGCTGACAATTCCCAAATGTACAGCACCAGCCGATCTCGCTCTTTGAACTCCAGACTTGCATATTATGTATATATTGCTTTCTCACCTGCTCTCCAATTGATTCAAAAACAGACCTCCTGAACTTAGTGTGTCCAACTCCTGCCCCTATACCTGCAGACACCTCCCCGTCAGGTGATGGTAAATGCATCCTTCCAGTCATGAAGACCACGAATGTTGAAATCATTTTTTATTCCTCTCATATCCTATTTTCAATCAGTAAAAACAATCCTTATCCTTTAAAGTGCATCCAGAATCCAACCACTTCTCACTACCTCCAGTGCTGCCGCTTGGTCGCAGCCATCCATCTCCTCCTCTGGCTCGTCTAAGGGCCTCCTCCTAACTGTTACCCTTGCTTTATTCCTACCCTTGCTTCCTCATAGTCTACTCTGAACACAGCAGCCCGAGTCACTCTGTTATAACTTAAGTTGGACTGTAGCACTCCTTTGCTTGAGAATCCTTCAATGGTTCCCTAAGTCATTCACAGCAAAAGCCAGTCTTTAAAGTGACCCACAAACACCTTTGTGATCCGCCCCACTCCACTACTTTCCTCCTGGGCTACTCCCTCACCTTCATCCACTCTGCTCTGGTCACACTTGCTGTTCCTCAATAAAAACAGACATGTTCCTGCCTTAGGGTCTGTCCACTGAAAGTTCCCTTTGCTGGACTGCTTTTTATCCCCTAAGGCTCACTCCCTCACCTCTTTCAATCTTTGCTCAATAGGGCCTTTCTCAGTAAGGCCTGCCCTGATCACCCTATTTTAAAATTGCAACCTCTTCTCATACCAGCGCTCCTAATCTCCCTTACCCTGTTCTCTTTTTGTTCCAGAACACATTTTGATATAAGAATAAATCTGTAAACTTCTAAATTATAGCATGCTTCTCCCATGAGACTAATAACTGCCTGGTGCTACCTTCCCTACACTCATTTTAGAGTTCATCCTCAAGAATGTTAAGCTCTGTTATATGTCAATCATAACTCAAAAAAAAAAAAAAAAAGGTGGGCGCCTGGGAGGCTCAGTCGTTGAGCGTCTGCCTTCGGCTCAGGTCATGGTCTTGGGGTCCTGGGATTAAGTCCCACATCGGGCTCCCTGCTCCACGGGAAGCCTGCTTCTCCCTCTCCCACTCCCCCTGCTTGTGTTCCCTCTCTCGCTCTGTCTCTGTCAAATAAATAAATAAAATCTTAAAAAAAAAAAAAGGAAAAAATACTGTTAAGTTTCTTACTTAAGACTCCATTCAAAGTACTGACCAAAAGTTGGGGTAGAGGTGGGCAATAAGAACATTTGTTTTCTATTGTCAATAACCTTGAGTGAAAAACAGTAAGAAAATTAAAGACCAAAATGAAACTGTAAAATCGCAGCTATGAGATATCTCAAAACAAGATAATGCAGAGTTCTATCTGTACAAACTAAGTAAGAAATACTATACAACTGTTTCCTCCAAAATAAGTCTAGGAGCTCTGAACAATTTTAATTACTTATTAAATAAAGGAGGAATACAGACTGCCAATTAAATAACCTTTATAATTATTTTTCTATTTCAATAATTTCCATTAATTACAGTGCAGTTTTCTTTTTTGCCTTCTCAAAAGCTAAAATGAGTTAATTAATTTGATTTTTAAAGTTGCAATTTACAATACAGCTGTTTATTAATAGTTTTATTTATTTATTTTTAATAAAGATTTTATTTAGAGACACAGCGAGAGAGGGAACACTAGCAGGGGGAGGCAGCTTCCCGCTAAGTGGGGTGCCCCATGCAGGGCTCGATCCCAGGACGCTGGGATCATGACCTGAGCTGAAGGCAGACGCTTAACGACTGAGCCACCCAGGCGCCCCATTAATACTTTTAAATATTAGTTTTAGGAGTGGGGGAATAAAATTTGCTTAAAAAAAACAACATAGCACTTACCTAACATACTATTAAGAAACGTTCTCCAGCACTTAACAGATTGCTCTAGGTCCTTGTCTTGCAACCCTCCCCCACACCTTTTAAAATTCAACTACTTACCTTGTCATAAATCACTTTTATAATGAGAGAGCAGCTAGGACACGTTGCCACGTCTTCCCCATTCTCCAAATCTTCCTACAACAAAATCAAAAGCCGTTTGGTATTGTCTTCCCTTTGCGATCTCCTTCCAAACTCTTTCCACCTCTATGGGCAAGCTCCTTTGTAGCTCACGTCCCTACAGGGTATGCGAGGGCCAAAAAGGCCTGCCCAGAGAAATACCAACTCCATTTTCCCTGCCAAGCGGCACTTAAAAATACCCAGGAAGAGGGGCGCGTTGGTGGCTCAGTCGGTTAAGCATCCAACTCTTAAATTTCAGCTCAGGTCATGATCTCGGGGCCCTGAAATCGAGCCCCACCCCAGTTCCGTGCTGGGCCTGGAGCCTGTTTAAGATTCTCTCTCTCCTCCCTCTGCTCCTCTGCCACACCCCCTACCCCCACCCCTACTCTCTCCAGACCAGACCCGGGAAGGTTACCCAAGGTTCATCGCCTCAAAACCCCTGAGAAGACAACAACGTGTCCCTGCCTCCGAAAAACCATCCCAGGAAAGGAAGTGGGATCCTAAGTGAGGAAGAATGGCAAGACTTTAGCTCCCGCCATCCAACCTTTCCCACCCCCACTCTCCACCGCTAGGCCGGACTAAAGGCCAGGACGATGTGCCCACTGACAGATCAAAGAATCAACTTTATGGGGACTCAGAGACAGGATAAAGAGGGCGTGTGAGCCTCAAAGTGACGGAAAGGCGGAAGGAACGAGGAAGAGCAAAAACGCGCCTGCTCCGACGAATCGCCGGGCGGGACTCTGAAGTTACCTTGGTAATGCAGAAGTTATCCCCACACGGGCAGGGGTAGAAATATGCCTCCGAGTCTTCGTCATATTGGAAGTCCTCGATCTCCACCTCGTCGTGAAACACCGCCATTGCCGCAGGGGCCAGCAGAGGTCTGACGCCCCCGCCAGCCGACACAGCCCCGGGACGGTCTAACTTTGCGGGGACTAGGGCCAGCCCCGTGTCGTCAGCCCGCACCGGCTCGGGGGCTATCGCTTCCGGCGCATAGACAATGACGCAACTCCGGCCTCGGAGGCCAAATGGGTGACCGGGTAGCGGTCACCATGGAGATGGCGGAGCTTAGGGGGCGGAAACTCTGCCTGTGGCGGCTCGCGGCTTTGTACTGTGCTCCCGGCTCCGGCTGTCGGAGGCACCGACCAATAAAATGTGGTGATAGCTCGCGCTGCTGTGACGTCACGTCACCGGAAGGTCTCAGGCGAGGGTGGCGGAGTTCCGCCAGGTCAGCTAGCTTAGGTTCCCGCGGCGCCGGCGGAGCCGAGGCCCCTTTCTTTGGCCGCGGTCCTCAAGTCCGCGGAGCTTAGAGAGGCCTTGAGCTGGGTCCGCGGAATCGGTGGCATCGACCCGGCCCTCGACGTCCTTGGGGAGAGGAGGGTGCTCCTTTGCTTGGTCTCAGGCGGCGGCCGGAGCACCTCTGCCTCTTGGACCTCCCTTCCTGCGTCCCCGGTGACGGACGAGTTCGCTTGGGGAATTTTGATTCACCGAGTGACCTTGAGCTCAGGGCGACGCCTACCTTGTAGTCTGTGGCTGCACTCGGCTCTTCAGGTACATCCCTGGCTCTTCCTCACCCCGGGTTATCTTCAAATACCCTAAATTTTGTTGTCAAGAGGACCAAGAGAGTGAAGGCAGATTGAGTTCTAGTCCTATGTTTGCCAAGCATATACCATTATTAATGACAGTGATTTGTAAAATAGTATTAACATCACCTTTTATTATTGGGTATTTGCTATGTACCAGGTATTGCGCTAAGAATGATTCTTACATCAACCCTGGGAGTTTAGATGTTATTCCATATTATTAATCTCCAAACTGAGATACAGAGAGTTGGGTATCTTGACTAAAATCACCCAGTTAGGAAGTGAAGATCCTGTCCGTCCTCAAAGCCTCGAAACAAATTGCTTAATTTATTTGAGCCACGGTTTCTTCTTTGTAAAAGGAATGGCATCTGCAGATATTACCACGAGGCTTCGGTATACGTTGAAACAATGCAGATGAAAGGTGGTTTGTCTTGAAAGCAATGCTGTGCCTGTTTTAGTACAACCAGATTCCATGGGGATATTGCTCCATCACCATGCATTTATTCAAATTTAGGTAGAGAAGGAATGCAGTGCACTGAAACAGACACTTTTGAGAAATAGATCTGGGGTCAGAATCTGAGTGTTGGGAACTAGCTCTGTGAGCTGGATATTTACATTTTTTTTCCAAAGATTTTATTTATTTGGGGCACCTGGGTGGCTCAGTCGTTAAGTGTCTGCCTTTGGCTCAGGTCATGATCCCAGGGTGCTGGGATTGAGCCCCATATCGGGCTCCTGGCTCAGCAGGAAGCCTGTTTCTCCCTCTCCCTTTGCCACTCCCCCTGCTTGTACTCCCTCTCTCGCTATCAGAATAAATAAAATCTTTAAAAAAATATTTATTTATTTGGGAGAGCACGCACTAGCAGGGGTGAGCAGGAGAAGCAGGCTCCCCATTGAGCAGGGAACCCCCCCAACATGGAGTTTGATCCCAGGACCCTGGGATCATGACCTGAACCAAAGGCAGATGCTTAACGACTGAGCCACCCAGGCGCCCCTGGATATTTACATTCTTTGGGCCTTATTTTCTCTTCTAACTTAAAAAGGGTTGGATTAGAGATGATACACAAGATCACATACAGATCTAACTTTTGCATGGAAATTATGAGATTTCCTGGGTTTGCAATTATATATACCATATTTCTTTTATATTTACATGGTATGTTTCATGTAATTCCTACATGTATACACATTCCTATGCTTATTTATGTACACATACTCAGGTTTGCATGAAGCTACCAATTTTGTGCATACTGAGTTGAAAGCTCCACCTGGTTTGAGGCTTGAAAACCTAAAGGCAGAGAGGAGTCTTTGGGAGAAAATCAAGAAGTTACATTTAAGAAGTTTGTGGAAGGTTATTGCAAAGGCCTCACATTGAAGACCTACCTGGCAGTTAGGAAACACTTGTTAAACTTTGAGGCTTAACTAGGATGATTTCCAGTGTGACTGGGCAGAGGAGAAAGCCCAGCAAAGCCCATCCAGCTCCATGGCTGCTCCTTGTATCTCTGTAGGCACAGATACTCCCCAGGTAGTCCCTTGGAGACAGGAGGACAAGGGAGAGTCTTCCAAGGTCTGTTCTGTAGTCCTAGTGATCATTTTGAGGTTGGAAATCATCTTTAGTTCTTCAATGCTTCTCAGCATAACTACCTACAAATTAAAGATGAGCCATTTTTGAACGTATAGAAATGAGTGCGTTCATATTTGGTTCTTGGAATTATGAATTGGTAGACGTTTTAGAAAGCAGTTTGGACCTAGCAAAAACAATTTGCTGGAGAATTTTAAAGTTTGAGGTTAATAGCCCTGGAAGTTACAGGAGTTGTTGGGTAAAAATTTTTTTTATAATTTCTTTGTAATTTTCCAACTTTTTTGGAGTATGTATTACCTAAAATGGAAAAAGAAAAACTAGTGAACCACTTACTAATAGTAATGGACACTGTGTGTCCAGCACTCTATCAAATGTTTTCTATGCATGATGTCATTAAAACAGCCCAATGAGGTATAGGTATCATTAATCCCGTCATCAACATTGGGAAACCAGGGGCTGAAGAACTTAGCTAAGGAGGCAAAGCTGGTAAGTGGCAGTAAATTGTGGTGAGAACTCAGATCGGTGAGACGCCAGAACTTAGGCTGTTAAATAACTTTGATGTCATCTGTGATATGATGGTATTGAAGCAGAGCTAGATTAAACATAACAGCCCTGAAGCTCTGCAGACTGCTGAGATTGGCTGCTAGAGCTGTGCTGGTGCCCTTGAAACCTAGATTTGGGAGTCTCCTTGGCTTTCCATACTGCTTTCATCCTGCTTCTGTGTGCCAGAGGTGATTCCCTGTATGGTTCTGCCCAGTTTGAGTTCATGCTGTGCTGAAGAAAGTAAAACCATAATCAAACATGTAATGCAGGGTTTTTATTACTCCACCCAACATTTTTTAATAAAGCATTACAATGACTACTAAACCTTACGTTTACTCCTAAAAGGGAATGGAAGTGTTTTGTAACAGCCATTTTTGGACCTTGAGAGTATGACCAAAGCAGATTTACTAGTTGCTATAGGATCATTTACAATCACAAACTTAAAATTCAAAAAGAAGTCAAATCTGTTGAAATGCACCATGAGACTTTGAGTGAGGCTCTTCCTGGAGACAGTGTGGGCTTCTATGTCAAGAACGTATCTGTCAAAGATGTTCGGCATGGGAGTGTGGCTGGTGACAGCAAAAATGACCCACCCGTGGAAGCAGCTGGCTTCAGGGGCTCAGATGATTATCCTGAACCATCCAGGCCAAGTCAGTGCAGGATATGCACCTGTGCTGGATTGTCACACGGCTTACATAGCTTGCAAGTTTGCTGAGCAGAAGAAGATAGATCGTCATTCTGGAAAAAAGCTGGAAGATGGTCCCAAGTTCTTGAAATCTGGTGATGCTGCTATCTTTGATATGGTTCCTGGCAAGCCTATGTGTGTTGAGAGCTTCTCTGATTCCTCCTCTGGGCTGTTCTGCTATTCGTGACATGAGACAGACGCTTGCTGTGGGTGTCATCAGAACAGTGGACAAGAAGGCATCTGGAGCTGGCAACGTCACCAGGTCTGCCCAGAAAGCTCAGAAGGCTAAATGAATAGTATCCCCAATACCTGTCACCCCAGTCTTAATCAGTGGTGGAAGAATGGCCTCAGAACTATTTGTATCAGTTGGCCATTTAAGTTTAATAGTAAAATGGTTAATGATACGATGCATCCGTAAAACCTCCAGAAGGAAAGAAGAATGTTTTGCCGACTATTTGTGGTTTTTTGTGTATGTGGCAGTTTTAAGTTATTAGTTTTTAAAATCAGTACTTTTTAATGGAAACAACCAAAGATCTGTCACAGAATTTTGAGACCCACTAAAAGTTTAATGAGAGAAAAAAAATTCTTATTTTTATCATAAAATGTTAACACTGCTGATCTGGAAAGTAACAGTGACCAAAATTCTCAGCATGTGATCGAATTTAGGATTAGTTTGTAATTCTGAATAGAAACTGTTTTGTGAATGCTGTTGCATATCAGGCTGAGGGGAGTTTTTGGCAGCATCAAGCCACTGCGTCTCTAGGTTGTTCGGCAGGGAGCAGAAGGCAGGGGTTAATGGGATTGACTTGATTTTTAGTAACACTCTTGCGTGCCAGGCACTTGCATAGACATTTGTTCCTCTCAGCAATTCAGTGAAGTGGTATTGGCATTCACATTTAAACATTTTAAGAGGTGACTCGCCCAAGATGAAAAAGTAGGAAGGAGTCGGACCTGAGCCCAGTTCCACCGATTTCAGGTCAAGCACTCTGTAATTTTGGTACCACTAGGGTTCCCTTACCAAATGCCAGATGCTGGGAGCCCCTTTCCTCCCTCAGTGACACTTAGGGTTCTAAATCAACTGGTGCCATGATAGTTCTGTGAATTTATTTTATTTCAGTGTATAAATGTTCTTAGAGGCATTCTTGGTTTCTCTCTCCTCTCTCTTTTTTTTTTTTTTAACTATTCTCACAACTCATCCAGTCTGTTAGCAAATCATAAGGCTCTAATGCCAAAATATACTCCCTGTTCATCTACTTCTGTCATCTCATAGCTTTATCCTGCTCTCATCTTAGACTGGAGCCTTCTTTTTTAAAATTTTTTTAATTTTTTTACTTTTTAGACTGGAACCCTCTAACTGGAGACTCTTGCCCTCTGTGATCCATTCTTTACATAGTAGCTTGAGTGCTCCTTTAATGTAAACGTAATTAGGTCATTTGGTCAAATGTAAATTAGACCCTTTAATGTAAACCTTTTCTGTGTTATTCAAACCCCTCAGTTGCTTCCCATTGCCCTTACAATAAAGGCCATACTCTTTCCATGGTCTGATGTGATCTGGCACTTGTCTACCTGCTGGACTTACTGCTTGTCACTA